GGTGCAAACCCGAGCCCAGGTCCTCCGCCACACAAAGCTGCAGCACCACGGCAGGCGCTCGCTGGAACTTGCCAACGACCGGGAGTTGCACCCCAGCTTGAGCTCTGTACTCTGGGTGATGCTCTGCAGAAACCTGGCCCTGTCTTGTGCCTTCCCCCAAAGCCTCAGGCGTGTGCCGTGTTAGAGATAACTATTGATAATTGCGTTTATTTAACTTTCATCTCCTTCTTCACATCTTCCCACTGAACTTAATGATGGAAGAAGTTGCCAGATGTTAATTATTATCATTATCAGCTCCTAGCATTTACTGTACAAAGCAATGCTTTTCCTGGTCTAGGCACTCTGTGATTATAGCGCAGAGAGAAAGGCAGGTTCATTAAAGTAGCCCACAAATGTTAGTGTTGTCATTATCCAATTAACGTTCCTCTTCACAGGATGAATATAAACCTGACAAAGACCTCTCTGAAGTGGATCTGAAAAATGCCATCCGTGTGCACCACGCCTTAGCCACGAAAGCCTCTGACTACAGCAAGAAGTCCAACGTGCTCAAGCTGAAGACAGCTGACTGGAGAGTCTTCCTTTTCCAGGCCCCGTAAGTACCAGTTCTTCCCGCGGAGCTGGATGGGCAGCCTGACCTCCAGCCCTCCGACCTGGCCAGATCAACACATGCATTCAGGGACAAGCCTGGGGGGCAGGAAGGTGCTGAGCAGGAGGGCTGAGCAAAGGACTTGGTCATGGGGTCACGGTTTCTGTCACTTTGGTAGCTGTGTGTCAGCCCTGGAGGTCCTTTCTCATCTGTCACCAAGGTGGGCTGAGCAGGACAGGCTGGGGTGTAAAGGGCTGAGTAAAGGGCTCCCCTTACTAACTTCTATTGTTGGTCTGTCGAAGGGAGAAAAATCTATACAGGGCATTGAACTAAGGAGTTGATGGTTCCCCTCGTCAGCTTTTGATGGGGAAACTGTCTAAAGCTCATTAAAGAAGTGCCCCCAGCCAGGCTATATATTCTTTCTTCCTTAATCCATTGCAGAGGAAAGTTGCTCTGCTAATGAGTGTCAAGTGTGATTGAGTCATCTTCTATCTTCCTGCTGAGGTGACATTGTCTCTAAGTTAGACTGGGGTGCTAAAGTCAAGTAAAGCTTGACATCTGAATTGGTGCAGTGAAAACCCACTTGAAGGCTGGGGGGAGCAGTGCCTGAAGTGATCTGATGAGGGACCCTGGGCAGTGTCCCACAAATGACACAAATGAGGGGTCCACCCTGCTCCGTGGGACCTCTGTTTTGTGGCTCCCATGCTCCAAAAAGCAGGACATCCTTGGCCCTTGCCACCATGCTCCCTCTCCCCAGCTCCTCAGGGAGTGCAACCAGAGCAGATGAGGAAGGCAGGAGGGCCAGGGCTTCAAGAGGCAGACGTCAGCCATGAAATCATTAGGGCACTGTAGAGGAGCCAATTAGCCACTGTTTTCCTCTGTTCACAACCCAGGGTGGCACAGAAATGGCTTCAAAGCCAGGCCACCAGTGGCCCTGCTGAGAGCGAGTGGCTCCAGACCTGTTGTGAGCTGGCTGGTCCTGGGTCAGGAGCATTTACAGACACCCCCACTCTTCTCCCCTCCTCCATAACAGAAGTAAGGAAGAAATGCTATCCTGGATCCTGCGAATCAACCTTGTTGCTGCCATTTTCTCCGCCCCCGCCTTCCCAGCTGCAATCTGCTCCATGAAGAAGTTCTGCCGCCCGCTCCTGCCTTCATCCATGACCAAGCTGTGCCAGGTAACGTGTGAGAGAGGGGGCGATGGAGGGGTGCCTGGCGCTCAGCCAGCCCTTCAGCATGCAGCTCGGGCTGAGCCCCTCTGCAGCTTCCCAGCTCCTGCCTGGTAGACACGTTCAGGTGCTCAGGGCAGCGGAGTGGGCAACTTGGACAGACAGTGGCAAATCCCGGTGTCTGGCCAGTGCTTCCTTGCCACTGGCTGTAAAGCAACCCTATGCACACAACACCTGCCTGTATGGCCGTTGATTCGGGCTTGTTAATAGCTCTGTACCCATCATATCCCAGTACCTTTCTGTTGCCAAAGTTGAAACAGCTGTTTCTACTGAGCCCAACAGCTGGCTACAGCCCTGGTTTATTTTATAACATGGCACTCAGAAGCACCCTGTTGTTTCTCAAGCCAAAAAGCCACAGATGAAGGGGGACTCTGAGTCCCACTCAGTGGGAAAGTTATTCTGGAAGCAAGCTGGCACGGTGCGCCAGACCATGGCTGCCTAAGGGTCAGTTAACCAAGAGCAAAGGGCAGCTGCCATCCAAAGAGTAGCTTTTGTTTGCACTGTCCAGGGAAAGCCCAACATGCCTTAGCACCTCTAAAAAGTAGGGACACACTGCCACTGGCTCCCAGCAAAAGGGACGGCAGCCTGAAATGTCAGGGCAGAGGATACAGCTCCTATCTGCTGAACCAGATGTGGCCAGATGTCACCTTTCTCAGAGCCCAGATGGGGTGGGTACTTTATCTCAAAAAAAAAAAAGAGCAGCATGAGCAGCTCTTGGGGCACTGCTCATTCTGCCTGGCTGTTAAAGGATGCAGAGCATTTCTTGGTTTTGATGCTAAAGAAGCCCAGCTGCCAGAGAAATCCATTCTTGGCACTCGCAATACATGAGTTTTAATCTTACTCAAATACCTGTGTTTCAGCTGCTCCTTATCAGATGAATTTGCAAATGTACTGCACACCTTTGGCTCTAGCACAGTAGCTAAGCTCACCTCCTTGCAGACTCAGATCCCATATCAACAGGCAGGCGGTTCACTTGGTTGTTGCACTCCTACATTTTAATACCTGACACGCTTCTCTCGGCAGGAAGAACAGCTGAGGTCTCATGAAAATAAAATGAAGCAGATTGCAGACGAATTAGCAGAGCATAAATTACATCCTGTAGAGAAGAGCCTCAAGTCAAAAGAGGCTGAGGAATACAGACTCAAAGAACATTACCTAATATTTGAGGTAAAGGAACTTTCATCTTTTCTGTGATAAATGATAACTTGGCTGATTGAGGAGAACTAAAACTCCAGAGTGGATGCTGTGAGCCTGGGAGCGTGAAAGGAGAGAGAAGGACGAGGGCCCACAAGCTGGATGGGTGTCTTGGGGCAGCAGCAAGTCCTGCTGTTTTGCACTGAAGCTAAAAAAAGAAATAACAGACATTTCCTCCCCTCTGTGATTTCTAACCAGAGGAGGGGAAAACTGACAAGAGAAATAAAATCTTCCTTTACTGTGCCGGAACTTGACATTTCCTCAGGTCCCAAGTAAGAAAGTGGTTCAGTTCTCTGTGTGCATCAGTCTTTTTCAGCAACATTAATAAAAAGCTGAAGGAATCCCTGGGAGAATTAATCTTGTTTTGCTGCAACAGTTTCTGTAAATAAAGGCAAAACCAGCACTACAGCTGATTACAGACTCTTTGAGGATGCATGTAGCTAAGTTTAAACTCTCCACAAAGTCTAAGAAGCATTTAATTGTGGCAGAAATGGGTTATTTTGTTCCAGTGAGAGTTGAGCAGAAGGTGTGATTCCTGCCACATAGGTGTCAGTGGGAAGGGACTGCTGGAGGTCTCTAGTCCTGCTTCCAGCAGGAGCTTGGATTATTCCCAGTATTAGCCCAGGCTGAGTGTGTCATTTTGTGGCCAAGTCTCAGAAATCTCCAAGGATGGAAATGTGCCTACCTCCCACATACCAGGGCTGCACCAACCTCTTGTGTAACGCCCAGCCTGACTCTCCAAAGCCACAGTTTCTGGCTGCTGGTTCCCTTGTCTTTGTACCAACCCTTCAAATAGTTGCTTGCTGCTGCCTTCTGTTTTCCAGGCATCTTGTTTTGGATGCCTGCAGAGAAGTCTCCATCTGAGCATTTTCTCTAGGCTGCCTTTTCAGTCTGCAAGAAGTTGGCACTTCCAAAGCATAATTTATCTCATCTGTCTTATGAGATGTGCTCTAGAAATGCTTGTTTCTCTGTGTTGACAAAGAAGCGAGTATAGGCTGCCTCTTACACAAGTCCATAAAAAGAGGGTCCATCTAGCCTTGTAATAAAGGTGCCAGGAAGAGAGAAGCCTCCCTTTATGCTGTGCTCTGAGGAGCAATGGGGGCACAACTCAGCAGTAATATGTGAATCACTGGATGGAAACAATGGCAGGCAGTAGTATTTGAACCAATTGAGGGGAACTCTTAAAATCAGGAAGGAGGAGATCTGTTGGTCTGGTTTTGCCTCCAGTATTCACCTTATACAATCAGAGTGGCAGTCAAGACCATAAAAGAGCAACTGGAGAATCTTGCACAACCCTCCCCTTTCTCCTCCACCCTTTCAATGTGGGTTGATAGGTCTTTGCATAGACCAGGCATTGTGCTGTGGTTAAACAGTACCTGTTGGGTGTGATTAATGGGATCCTGACGATAAAAGTTGGGTTTTCCTGCAGTAACAGATGGCATTGCCTCTGCTTTCCAAGCATGCCATGGCCTGTCCCTGTTGCCAGGCTCTCTGTTCCCTCTTTCCCGGCAGAAGAGCCGCTATGAGACGTACATCAACCTGCTGTGCATGAAGATAAAAGTCGGGACAGATGACCTGGAGAGAATTGAAACCAGTTTCTTCAAGGTGGAAGCTGATGACATTGCTTTGCGGAAGACACATTCAAGCCCTTCCTTGAGCCAAGGGCACATGGCTGTCAGCTGTAAGGCGGAAAAGGACATTTTAGAGCAGAACACTTAACAAGGAACGCGTGCACAGGGGGGATGAACCGGTGATGCTTTGCGCTCCTGGACTAGATCGACGAGCACAATTTTACCTAGGAAATTACATGAGCAAAACCGTAGACCTATATGACATGGTGATTGCTCTAGTGAAAGAAATCAAAGAAGCTTTAGTTGACACTCTCTGGCAACGCTGTGGCATTTCAGCATCATAGACACACCATCTCTTCTTCATCCCTAACAGTACCAGTGGCTTTTCTTTCCCTCCTACCGCAGCATGCACAACAAAGGGATTTGTGGGTTCTCCAAGGGCAAGATTGCTCTTTTCTCCACCAGCCCTCTCTCTCCTCCTGCTTCTCTCCCTGGAGTCCCCACCGGTTCATGTCCACAGTTCCCGGCAGTGCAGGAAACTCAGCCGAGATGACGGTCTGTGGCATCACCAGCGCTCCCAGAGAAGGGCACAGAGTGGCAGGGAGCATGTCCGTCCCCTGAGAGGAGCACTGTTCAGCATGTCGTGGTGATAGGACAGGTGACATCAGATAGTCACCGACCAAGCGAGAGGCGTCTTCAGCACGGCATGTGGGAATGTTATCTGCCCATGGCAGGAGAGGCCTGAAGTGCCCTCTGTCACCTTATCCTTTTTATATATATATATACATATGAATATATATAAATAAATAT